GCTTTTTGATAAAACCATCGACATCCACTTGAAACCATTTATGATGGCTTGAAATTTTACTTTCCTTTTATTTGGTGGCATATCTTATTTGAGAGACTAAATTGGCAATGGCCAGAACATATAAAAATACAACTCAGACTCACAATCTATAGCAACCAACCTTTACAGCTACCAGTTCAGGAAAACAAACAATAATCTCTATAGAAATTAGCCCCCAAAAGCCAAGAACTTGATAGCTGGCAATCTCTATTTCCCCCTGCTTCCAAATTAGGATCTACCAGAGAAAACCAAATACATCCTTGTAAAAAAAAAAAAATTACATAAAATGCACCAATCATTGTCTATTTCTAATTTCCCCATGTCAATAGCCTCCAGTCAGGACATACCTGAATACTTTCCTTATTCCCACTTGACAGCTTTCTCACTTTTTTGCTTGCTTGCTTTTGAACTCCACCAGATTTAAATAGTGGTCTCTGATTCTCTTACAACAGCAAGCTCTGAATAGCCTGATGTTTCCCTGAGAAATCACTTACTAGTAGATTTCAATTTTGCTCTCTGGCTGCAAAATCTGAAAATATCTCTTATAACATTCTTGCATTTCCAAATTTACTCTAATTCTATTCAAAGAAATTTCTTTTCTCTCCAGGGGTGTTCTAGGCCTCGACTCTTTTTTCCTCTTAGTCATTTTACACCATGTATTCCCATGTGGCACCTGCATCTTCAATCTCTCTTTTTGTACTAAACTTTCCTTCAACATTTGAATACCCCTACATCTTTCCCAACTACCCAAAATCCCTAACCTAGCATTTCTGGGACCCCTTCCTAAACCACTTTCCACTCCTTCATCTCAGCTGTAAATCTCTGAGAAAGAGTGATCTTGTAGTTCTCTGTCCCCTCACCTCCAACCAGCTCCTGTGACTGCTAGAAATTTCCTTCTGCTCTAACCATTCTGTAGATGCTTCCCTTGATGGGGTCACAATGACCCCATTGTTACTAGATCCAATAGGAGCTTTTCCTAGTTTATCTGACATGATCTTCAAGTGAAAATTTTAAGTGTTGTTGTATTGGAGCAAAACAAAAATCTCTAAGTACTTAAAATGAATTTAAGATTATTTGTTCAGGAATTAAAAGGGAAAATACAACCAAATGCAGGGAGATACTAGCCCATCTGAGTGAGAACTCATGACCACCAGCACTGCACTCCCCTCCCCAAAGCTAAAATGTTCTGACAAAGGCAGATATAATACTCCTGAACACAAAGAAATACAGTCATTATTTGGTTCAGTTCGCAAGGAGGATAAGTTATGGTTGGTGAATGGTCATCTATTAGATAATTTCATATAGTGGATTAAAGTGATTGATTTCAGGAACAAATTTTTCTTTCACTGTTCCATATCCTTCAAGACAGAGGTTTTCTATTACAATCACATATCCTTCAAATAGGACCATTAAAAAAATCCCTTGTGGATATATAAACAGTATTAACCAGATGTCTCAGTAATTTCTGAAACCCTATGATTTCAAAAGGAAGCTCTGGTGGCTTAATGGAAAGGAGTTGTGCTGCCAACCTGAAGCTGGAATCCACCAGCTGCTTAATGGGAGAAAGATGGACACTCTCCTCCCATGTGATTTACAGCCTCTGAAAACTCCTGGGAAGGTCAACTAAAGTCAGTTCCAACTAAGTGGTATATAACAACACAAAATGTTTCAAAATCAAGATCCAGGATCTCATTTCCCTGAAACAGCTTGTTACACAGAAACCTTCCAGTGGTCTCTGAAGCTGTAGATAATGTCAGCTCTCAGAAATTTTGATTCTTTATTACATGTTTGGTTTGAAGAAATATTTCTTGGAGAAAAGCAATCTTGTTACCATCAAGAAAGAAGAGCAGGAAGGGAAGCACATCCTTTGATCTTGGAATCCCTGCATTGACACTCTTAGATTCAGAAGACACAGAGATGTAAGGTCTGGGTTGTGGAAAGCAGCAGCAGCAGCAGCAGCAGCAGAAAAGGGCGCAGAAGGGTCGTGGACATGTCTCTCTCCAAGTACTAGTTCCTCCTGAAAATATGCCCAAATTAAGTGAAATAAAGTTTTACCATTCTTACCTCTAAGCGGCCCTCTGGATACACTTCCTTCAAGACAGATTCGTTTGTTCATTGGCCATCCCTCAATCCTTTCTGCCAACACCACAACTCAGAGGCATTGATTCTTCTGTGATTTCCTTATTCATTGTCTAACTTTCAGATGCAGAGGAAGTAAATGAAAAGAACATGGTTTGGCTCAGGTACATCTCATTCTTGACATAGACATCCTCACCCTTCAGCATGTGGGAAAGTTCCTTGACAGCAGATTTTCACAATGCAATATGTCTTTTGGTTGCTTGAATGCTGCCACCATGGGTGTTGGGTGAAAGATGAAATTGTTGACAACTTCTATTTTTTCTCCATCCATCATAATGTTGCCTATTGGTCCACTGGTGAAGATTTTTTTTTTCCATTGATGTTGAGATACTACTTTATTGAAGGCTGTGGTCTTTGATCTTCTGCAGTGAAGGGAAAAATCAGAATACAATAAGAAATTGATCAACACAACAGCACTAAAGAAAAAGAAGACCTAGTGTGGTGTGGAAGGATTCAGGGAAATCAGAATTACAGGGGTAAAGTGGGGAGAGTGCAAATACATTGTGGGTATAAAATGGGTACAAATGGCTGAATGAAAAATTCACTTGCTTGACCAAGTTTCACTCAAATCATAATAAGGAATTGTTTTCAAAACTTTTCCAAATATTCCACATGCGATTTAGAAACCCCTTTTCCAAGTCCAAGGGGGAGGCACTGCCGCTCACAGCCGCCAGGTGGCACCCGCGGGCAGGCCCTCGGAACCGGAAGCGGGGCTGCGGGTCTCAAGGCCGGCAGCCATGTTTGTTCGCTTCGCTGCTGCGGGGTGAGCTAGGTGCCGCCTGTCCCGGCGTCCTGCGCGGTCAAGTTCACGGTCACGGTGCCGCGCTCAGTGTCAAAGGCGCGGCCTGGCTCGTAAACGAACCTCCCGGAGCCTTCCTGAGCCCGGCCTCCCGCCGCCACCTCCCTGTCCCTTCTTTGTCGCCGCTTTGCAGGCACCGCTCTCGGTCGCCAGCCGCCCTGTCTCCTCCCAGCCCCGACCAGTGAGCGGCTGCCGCTGCGCCTCTGGGCGCAGGATCGAGTCCCACCGTGGGAATCTTCTCTGAGCAAGAGGCTAGTGTCTCAGATCAGCATCCGCTCGTCCCGGGAGCGTGGGAAGAGGTCGAGGCCGGGGCTCGGGGGCTGGTCCTGCTCCTGCCGCCCCCCTCGCTGGCCGGTCACCTCCCCTTTGTTTTCTGCGCGTCATCAGACAGGACTACTGTTACATGTTGGTAAGAAAAAATATATATATAAATGTAATGAGGAATAATATTCCTCCCCATCCCGTCTGTTATGATTATAGGTCCTTATGATGAATAGATGAGAACTTAAGAAATCGGAATTGGAACGAGTGGATGCAATCAGAATCGGGAGGAGAATATTTAGTGGCATTGTTGTTGTTGTTGTGTGCCGTTAAGTCGTCTGCAACTCATAGCAACCCTGTGTACAATGGCTCTGAACTCTGTTCTATCCTGAGCCAAACCTTAACTGTCTCTGACACACCTACCCCTATTACCTTAGTCACTGTGTCAATCCACCTCATAGAGGGTCTTGCCCTCCTGCGCTGTCCCTCCACCCTCCCAAGCATGATGTCCCTCTCCAAGGACCAGTCACTTCTTGCAGCATGTCCAAAGTATGTCAGACGAAGCTTCAAAATGCTTGACTCCAAGGAGCAGCCAGGTTTCACCCTCTTCAGGACAAACCTGTTTGTTCTCATAGCAGTCCATGGCATATTCAACACTCTTCTCTAGCACCACAGCTCAAAGGCATCAATTCTCCTTCTGTCATCCCTACTTACTTATTTAGAGGCATATTTAATGGAATTTCTTCGACTGCAAGGCAGCCATAGTCATTATAATTGTTGGAGGTGGGGGGAAGCTGTCAGTTCTATAAGATTGTATAAAACAAAGATTGGAAAATGTTACTGAGTTTTGTAGCCTGAAAAAAATAAAAATATGACCGTAGCATAATTAAGAAGAGCCTTGACTATGGAGCTGGACTGCTTGGGTTTGAATCCTGACCATGCCACTTATTAGTTAGGTAGCCTTAACTATAGCAAATATAGTAATGCTCATGCTATGTTGATTTTCCACTCTTTTTTAATCTAGAAAACCATGAAAAGTCAACCAAAAACTACTATATGGCAATGCAGAAATTTGCCTTGCTAAAAAAATTAGTCATGAAACCATTATTTCCTAATTTAAGTCTTAAAAAGTCTCCTGATTGCCAGAAGGGTGAGGGTCATAGTATTAGCAGCCAGTTGCTAAGGAGCCTTGGTGACACACTGAGAGTTAAGTGTTGGTCCAGCTGTCCCAAAGGATGAAGGTTGGAACCCATCAGGAGAACAATGCGGCAGTCTCCCCCCCCCGCCCCCCCGTGGAAATCAACCACCTGGGGAAAGCCCCCGATTGGTCTCCAGGAGTAGCACCGGGCTGGACGCCAGTGATGGGAGCCCCCCAAGTAAACTTATACCAGCTGATGTCGGTAAAGGGGGAAGGCACGGTTCAGACTTTATATGAAACTTAGCCACTGGTGATCGTTATTTCTCACTGCACCTTGTGGATCATAGCTGTTTCACATCCTTTTACTGACAGAAAAAAAATCATATTTTGGAGGGTGGAGGGACAGTGCAAGAGAGGAAAACCTTTGATGAGATGGATTGACTCAGTGGGGTAATGGAGTTAGGTGTGTCAGAGACAATAAGGCTGGCTCAGGAATTGATGCCTTGTGGTGTTGGAGAAGAGTACTGAATATCCCATGGACGGCCAAAAGAACAAGCAGATAAATCTTGGAGAAAGTGCAGCCAGAGTTCTCCTTGGAGGCAAAGATGACAAAGTTCCATCTCACATACGTTGGTCGTTAGCAGGGGCTGTTCCTTGGAAAGGTAGAGAGTCAGCAAAGAAGAGGAAGAGACTCGACGAGAAGAATTGACACCGTGACTGCAGCAATGGGCTCACGTGTGTCAGAGACAGCGAGGATGGCACAGGAGGGGATGGGGTGTGGATCAGTGACTCCACGGCCCCTAACATCAGCGGATGTGTTCTGAACCCCTGTTTCCTTTTCCCAAGAATCTTTGCTGTCCTAAAAATAACTTTTGTTGTTCAGTGCCTAGGAGTGGACTACGGCTCCCAGCAGCTCTGTAAATAACAGGCCTTCACCCAGCCCCGTCCTGCACCACGTCCACGATCCCCGATACATTTGAGCCCACCCATGGTTATGGTCACTGTGTCAGTCCCCATGGTTACGGTCACTGTGTTGGTCTATCTTGTCGATGGTCTCTTTCAGACCTTCCACTTTTCCCCAGCATGATCTTTTTCCAAGGCCTGACGTCACCTGACAGCCTGGCCAAAGAACAGGAGACGAAGGTGTACCATCTTCGGGTGGTGCTCTGAACGGCACCCTGTTTGCACTTCCTCCAGGGCCGACTGGGTCCTGTTGGCACCCTGAGGGCTGGTCAGCACCCTTCTCCCACATTCTGGACGCTCAGTGGCATGGTCTGTAAAGAGTTGCCCTGCTCACCTTCTCAGGTGACTCAAACCCACCACCGGGTCTGAAGATGAAGTGGGCAGTCCACCACTGACAGCCTTGGAAACCCATGGAGGGGCATCTGTGTTGGCTTTTGTGACTCTGGGACAGTGAGAATCTGATGGGTTTAGGGAGCTCTGGGGCGTAGTTTTTAACGAGTTGCAGGAAATCAGGAGACGAATTGCATTGGGAAAGTCAGCTGTGAGGGACCTCTCACTGAATTACCTGAGTACTGAAGAGCAACGATGTCAGGCTGGAGACAAAGGTGCGCCTGATCCAGGCTGTAGTTTTCTCAGTTATGTGCTATGCATCGGAGAGTTGGACAGTGACTAGGGATAATAGAAAGAGAATTGATGCCTTTGAGCTGTGGTGCTGGAGAAGAGTGTTGAATATACCATGGACTGCTAGGAGAACAAACAGGTTTGTCCTGGAGAAGGTGAATCCGACGGAGTCGAGGATTCTGAAGCTTCGTCTGACATGCTTTGGGCATGTTGCAAGGAGGGACTGGTCCTTGGAGAGGGACATTATGTTTGGGAGAGTGGAGGGATGGCGTAGGAGAGGAAGACCCTTGATGAGATGGATCGATTCTGTGATTGGGGTGGTGGGAGTGAGTGTGTCAGAGACGGCAAGGTTGGCACAGGATAGAGCAGCGTTTAGGGCTCTTGTACCTAGGGTCGCTATGAATCGCAAGTGACTCGATGGCACATAACAACAACAACCTTTAACCTGAAGGCGGTGCATCTCCTTCAGTTCAGCGGCTCCTTGAGAAGGAGACGGGCAGCCTCCTCCCTTTACAGTTTACAGCCTCAGAGACCCAATGAGGTGGGGGCATTGTTATGAACTGGAACTGAATCGACAGCAGTAAACGACGGTGTGTGGTAGTAACCTTAGAGTCAAGTTAAACTGCCTGAAGGGAAAAATATTTAAGCAAAGACTTGCCCCTATTCCCAAACAGGAAACTCACAAATGAAAAAGACATTATCTTTGTAAAAAATTAAAATAAAACAAAATTAATCATCATTGAACTATGCCCATCATTACCCTGTGTTTTCTGGTCCTCACTGGATCTTTCTTATTTCCTTTACCCACTGCCTCCACCCACCAAATTGTGCAACCCTGTGATTTCATCCCTACCCATCCTCACCCTTCTGCTCCCCCCGCCTTACCCCTTTGGATTTCCATATGACCTGGCTAATTCCACTACTTGGAATATACCCTGAGCATATGAGAACTGAGGCACAAGCTGAGATTTGTACACCAGTGTTCATAGCAGCATTATTCACCATCACAAGAACATGGAAACAGCCCAAATGTCCAACCACAAATGAATGGATTGAGAAATTATAGTACATTCACACAATAGAATACTATGCAATACAAAGGAGCGATAACTTTATAAACTATTACCTCATTTTGGAGGGACTGGAGAGCATTATGCTGAATGAACTAACTCAGTCCCACAAGGATAAATATTGTATAAGACCATTATTGTAGAATGAGTATAAGGATCCAGGAGGGGTGGGACAGGCTGGAAGCAGAGGGATGTGGGTGTGCAGGGGGACTAATCATTGGGTTGTACAATTTGATGGGGGGGGGTGAGGGAAATTGAAAGAATTTGTTCAAATTTGTATTTGAGTTTTGTAAATAAACTAGTAGAAAAATTTAAAAAAAAACCAAAAAGTAAAAAAAAAGAAAAGGGGGGAAGTGGTTAAATTTAGCTCTATACATGAGTAAACAGAATTGATAGCATTGTGGGATGCATGAGGCGAGAGGGGGGTGCAGTTTGGAGAAATGTGTTTATAAATCCTTGCATGAGCAGAGAACCCAGTAGTGTCCATTGCTTGATGAAGTTGCTGTTGTTGTTGTTGTTGTTAGATGTCGTCAAGTCCAGCAGGACGTAAAATGAGTGACCCCACACACAGCAGCCCTGAATGCTACCCTATCCTGTGCCCACCACACAATGTCTTACTGAAACAATAAAAGACAAATGACTTTGGAGGTTCGATTGTGCAGGTTTGAGAGACCCAGATGGAAGGAGGCAATGGTAGCAGGCGGTTTGTGGCAAATCAGCAAAGAGGCTGTCTGCTCTGGGGGGGTTGAAAGCCCGTGGACAGCAGCCACTGAAGAGCATGGAGAAAGGCTAGGGGGGCAGTGTGTTTGCACTGCACATAGAGTTTGGAAACGAGAACCATGACTGAGCAGCGTCAGGCAGTTTGTTGAGAGCAAGTTAAAGAGGACCGAAGAGACCTAGACATGGAGATTGGTTGTGGATCTGAAAGGTGGCTATTGATTGTTCTTCGGTGCGCCATTGAATCAATTACAATTCATAGCAGCCCTGTGAACAGTATGAAAACCTTGCACTGTATTCATTATCTCCACCATGTGGATGGTTCAAAGGACATCTGTTGTTAGAATGTCTGCTCCTTGAATGACAGGCTCAGTGAATGTTTCACAACGTTGAATATTGACATCAGTAACCTGGAAATCTTTACAGAAAAGTTCTAGAATGACCTAGAGATTCTGCATAGTGAACAAGCTGAAAATAATACCTTTGAAAAAGGATGTGCAGTTCAAGAAATTAGTGAAAGGAAGGAAGG